GGTCTGGTGATGGGCTGTGTCAGGGCCTTAGGGCAAGGATAGTATCTTCCTACTCCTCTGCCAGCATTGGTCTTCCTTGAGCTGAGACCAAGAATGGCTCCTCACCTGCTGGCCATCCTCACTCTGCCTCTGGGGATAACATCTAAGGCTGGAGGATACAGAGAGCAAATTACCACCCCCAGGAGCATATCTGCCTCCCACCTACCGCACCTGAGTCATCACCTCTCTGAGACCCACTCCCCAGAGCAGCAACTCTGCCCAATGGATGGGACTGGGATCAAATGCAGGCTTGGTCCAGGGTTATTCTGGTGCAGAGAGACTGTTTTTAAGAGAATGTAATAATTAATTGAATGCCTTTTCCCTGTCATCCCCTTTTCCCACCAGATGATTCATACCAGTGACAGCTCTGCAGAGGGACAGTGTCCTTACCTGTCCATCAGTGATGCAGTGTGCCTGTGATGCCTGGGGTGCAGGACAACTTTGCCACAGCCAGCACAGCAAAGCTAACAAACTCCTGTAAACCAGGGAAGGAAGAACAGACCCCAACAGCAAGTTCATTTAGAAAAACATGAATCTGGGGAAAAGGGGGATTTCTAGCAAATTGCTATTGCCAGGCATAGACAGATTTTCCAACAGAATAAACCTGGGAGTTGTCTGCTGATTTTGCTAATGAGTAAGTAGAGTCTGTCCTGCAAATGAGACAAATACAATGTCCAGCTGTGACTGCTGCATTGTGTCAAACACATGAGACATACCCTTGAACTCTTGTCCATCAGGAATGCTTTGGCCAGAGCTGGTCCTGCCTTGCTGCAAAGCACAGTGCAATTGCTGGGTCAGGACTTGTTTCAGAGGTGCTTTTGATCCTGCTGCTGGGAAAAGGGCTTTTTTAGCAGCTACTTTCGGACTCAACTCCATTTAAAGCAAAACTAGAGCATGAGTTTGATTGTTCATCGAACCTTGGCAGCACCTGGTGAGCAGGGAGAGGTGTCTCTGGGTCAGATGCTGTTCCCTGGGCTTGGCTGAGAAAGTCACTTTGTCCCTCTCCTTTATCCAAGACATTCACATATATTCCTGTATGCATGCCCTGGATTTTGCAGCATGTGTTACAAGCTCTTTCCAGTGGCTGGGTAGGTGCAGGCAATGATTTTTCTTTGCTCCAAAATGTGACTGTCCTGGGTCTGGAGGTGCCACTCCCCTAGGAGCACACCGTGTGATCCCTGCTGCCCCAGCTCTGTCCTCAGGTGTCCCAGGTCCATTGGGTGTCTTGGTTCAGCCTGACTTTGCTTGCCTTCTGGCTGGAGCCTGTGTGAACCCATATGTGGACTTTGAGCCAAAAGAGGATTTCGTTTTTCCTCTCAGTGGCAGCTGTGTCTATCTTTTGATGCTCATGCAGCCCTCCTGCCAGATGTAAGGGTTGGAGAGAGAAATTCCTGTGATGCCAATGGCTGCAGCTACCTTCAGTCAGTCAGCACTGTCCTTTGGCTCCCAGCTCCTCACCATCCTCCATTACCCAATTATCCCCCCCCCCCCCCCCCGCAGGGTTCATTATCCTAGATTTCCAACCTGTGCTTGCACAGGATGTGAGGTTGTGCATCCCATCCCCTGCAAAGGCCCTTCCACATCAGAGCAAAGTTTAATCCCACTGACACCAAAGATGTGCAAGCTTCCTTTCTCTTCTCCCTCATCCTTCCCCAGACATCCCATGGGGCACCCCAGGAGAGTCTGTTTTCTCACCTGCAAACTGAGAGGAGCCCGAAGGAGAAACTGGAGAGGAGCACATGTGACTGGGACAGAGCCACCAGTGGCTGGCAGGGGTGATGAGGGCACTGATATTTTTATGGTTGTTTCTCCAGGGGCCTGCTGGCAGGAGATCCTCTGCCAGCTCCATGGGGCCTCACTCCCATCTTCTGCACATGGCAACACGCTGAAGTTCCAGGCCATAAATGGCCACAAATAACGTGTAATTGTGTAATTACTTCACTCGTTACTTACACAGTCAAATCATAAAGGCATCGCAGTAAATACCCTCTAATGACAGCCTAATTACATCTTCCTGCAGATTACTGGGTAATTAGATCCAGCAGGCTCCAGAAATAATTCCCAGGGAAGCAGTGGTTTGGATTAGCATGTACAATCCAGCCTGCTCTTACCCAGGAATTAGACTGCAGCAGCCTCACACGAGCTACCTTCCCCAGACACTCTGGCCAGTCACATCCCCTTTGGTGACAATGCACCGTGACCCTTGTCCCATGGAAATGGCTTTTGCTGATCCTCTCAGTGCTCTCCCAAAAATATGTGCTTCTGTCTTCACTGCAGTGCTGCATCCAGCTCTTGCTTCTTCTGCTCCCTGCAATTGTCCCCAAGGGTTCATCATTTGGCCTCCAAATGCCACTTCCTCTCACTCACAGGCATGTAAAGCTGAGCTCTTTGCTTCCTGTTGCACAGAGCAATCCTTATCCATTGGCTCCTGGAATATTTGGGAACCCATCAGCCCTTTCTCTACAGGTTATTCCCATTCTTCCTGATGCATCAGCCCCTGCTCCCAGTGGAGTTTTATGGTTGATGTAAAGGAAAGCAAGCTGCGACCTTTGATAGTATTTGTAGGAATCAATCTTGTTGCTGCCTTCAGACTCTCCTCACAGCAAGTGGCTGTGCAGGGGCTGGAGAAGCCTGGAAGGTCTTGGGGGCAGGAGGTAACCAGCAGACCCTGCTAGCACAGTGATGAAAGTGAAGAAAACAGAAAACCAAGAAAAAACAGTTTCACTCTCTTGATATGTTGCCTGTGCCCAGTGTGGTCAGAGCTCTAACTTCCTTGCACCCACATCCAGCCAGCTCATGCTGACAGTGGGACACAGCCCCCTCCATTCCCTGCCCAGTCCCCATGGCAGGGTAGACACCCACCCTGGAGAAGAAAGTCAAATACTGCATTGTAAAAGCAACAAAACTTTTGGCTTTTCTTTTAAAAAAAAAGAAGAAGTAGGATAAGATTTGAGGCTTTCAAAAAATTGGACC